ATAAATGAAATTTTGTCTTGTATGTGGGCGTATCTGCATGTGGACGGACCCGCCTGGAGATGGATAGAGGAGCGGTGTCTTGGTTCCTAAGACCATTGGAAATATGTGTTTCTCGATGGTCTTAGATGACCCCTGTGAAAGGGTCGTTCAGCCCTCAAAGGGGTCACGACCTCCAGGTTGAGAACTGCTGCCCTAGAGGGTCCCTGTGAGCTGGCATCAACTCGATGGCAGTGAGTTTTGGATTTATAATTTGGAGTCCTGGGTACATGCTGAGCTGTCAACTGCACAGTCAGCAGTTTAAAACACCAGCCGCTCCTCAGAAGGAAGACAAGGTTTTATGCTCCAGTAAAGAGTTCCAGTCTTGGAAACTCACTGGGGCAGTTCTGCTCTGCCCCATAGGATTGTGAAGAGTCAGAATTGAGTCAGTTTGGTTTGGGTATCTATCATTTAAAATGGGATTCTTTTCTATTTTGTCACTCTGTAATCCACGCTTTTTTCACATAATGTGTATGTCTTCCCATGTCAATGATTACAAATCTAGCTTATTCTAAAGTAGCTATAGAGACCTCTCTTGTATGTCTTTGCCTTGAATACAAACAGTGCTAATCCCTTGAATTTATTGCTCCCAGTATTTCTGCTCTAGAAACCAAGTCTTGCAGTGTTTTTCTTAATGCAAAGTATCTGAAATTCTGTGGGCTTCTCTGCCAGCTTATAAGGTAGTTGTAGGTAAAGGTCATGCCTTGTACTTCTGGGTCATCCAAGGCACCTTGGCACAGTTTGGTTGGTTGCTTCAGTTGACAGTGAAGAGGATGAGGAGGGTATGGGGTCACAGATATGATTTTATTATTTATCTGCTGACTAAAGACCCTCACTAGTCAGGCTGTAAGCACACATCTTTGTCATTTCAAGACAATTATCAGAATTTCTATAACCTGTAACAATTATAGTTATATTGGTATAATGCTTAAGTTTTTTAATCATTTTATTAGGGGCTCATACAACTCTTATCACAATCCATACATACATCAGTTGTGTAAAGCACATTTGTACGTTCATTGCCCTCGTCATTCTCAAAACATTTCCTCTCTATTTTAAGCCCCTGGCATCAGGTCCTCATTTTTCCCCTCCCT